ATGTAAGATAGTACAGCTTTCGTTGACAAGATCGGATTAAAATGGTTATATATCAACCTTCAGGAAAGTCTCTAACGATTGCGATAAGAAATCTCAGTACATTCGCCAGAATTTATGCACCAATCCAATATCATAAAACCGCCAAGTTGCAATCCCGATTTGGTTTACATTAGTAAGATACTTTTTGGTTTGGTTGCAGATAAATCTGTTACATTATGCTAACACTCTTACTGTGTTAGTTGGATTTCTCAATAGGAATATGGTGAATGAAACCTAATAAATTTTGGTGGAAAATTCACCAACAGAACAAAGTAACATCGATACTATATAACAGAAGATACATTATATTATGATATTATCTTGCTAAGCATAACGATTTTCATTTTAATATTCAATAAGTTTTATTTTCTTACAGTGAGATTAACAAATTTATTGTATACCATACAAACAAAGTAGTAAGGCTGAAATTTTTTTAGAAAAGATAGTGTTACGCACAATGAAACACATTTGACTGACATTCACTGAACAATGCCATCATCAAAACAGTTGAAAGTTCCCGAACTAGTTACAGTGAACACAGAGCCGTTTTGAGAACATTACTTGTTTCGATGAAGAATTTTCATATAAATAAAATCAGATAACTATCAATCTGTATGAAATAAAACATCACTGCACAAAACAAAATCTTCTTATAGATGTATTTGCACGAGATAAATATTCATATGATCTTATTTTGAAAAAGAAAAAGACATGTAGGTTAAAACACGCATCATACATGGATGTTGGGTGAAATAACTCAAAATCAGTTGTAATGGGCTACATATAGTTGTTCTCTTTTCACTACACACCTTTTGTTTTCCAATTTAATCCATTGATTTTGTGCTTCGTTTTAAATGGACTTATTAGGCTTAACTATTTGCGATATTGGGTGTCATACTTTGTTCTATACCTCATTTTGTCAATTTCCTTTCTCTTTGTCTTGATATAAAGCATGCCACTTAAACATCGTGCAAGTCAGTGACCCGATATTTCAACAGAATGGAACCCATTGTTGATCCTATTGTACCTTTTATTATTTTCCTCTTATCTTGGTTTATAATACTTATTCTTTGTTACTTCTAACTCTTCGAAACACTACAGTTTTGTTTCGCGGCGCCACATTGTCTGATGTTTTATAAAACCGACCGAAGCTGCTACCTAGACGCGGTGGTCGGGCTTGCCTATCGTGATGACCCAACCGAGCTATATTGGCTGGAACATATGTTCCTGTAGGTTCTACCATGTCAGGCAGGTCGATTGGTGAACGGTAAGACTAAAAGCAGCAACTCAAGGTCTCAGGGCGAAGTCGTACTGCTGACTGTACAGAGGTGTGACAGCAGTAAGATGTTTCCCTCGGACAACCAGCATGACAGCGATGCTGCCTTCCCACAAGGAGGGGTGGGGTTAGAAAAGGTCGACCCTGAATGGCAAGTTAATGTAAGTCCTCCGTCCCTTTACGAAGTTGAAAAAGCCATAGGAAATCTGAAACGAGGGGGAGCAGCAGGCCCTGTTAGGTTCACTCCTGAGATTTTTAAGGATGGTGGTCCAGTATTAGCAATGAGATTAACCGAGGTCTTAGGTAGAATTTGGGAACTGGACGAAATCCCATCTGACTGGTCTCAATCACTGATTGTGTCAGTCTATAAGAAAGGGCAAAAGTCCTCTTGTGACAATCACAGAGGAATCAGTTTGACTAATATAGTGTCTAAAATATTAGCCTCAATAATACTTCGACGCCTAATCAAAACTCGTAAAGAGCAGATTAGAGAAAACCAGGCCGGTTTTCGACCTGGACGTGGTTGTATAGATCAGATATTCACACTACGTCAGGTTCTAGAACACAGACACATTCAGACGCCCCACAATCGTAGTATTTCTCGAACTTAAGGCGGCATTCGACTCTGTTGATCGTGAGGTTCTATGGCAGTGTTTGTCACTGAAAGGAGTACCAAAGAAGTACATTAACCTTATAAAGGCTCTCTACTCGAACACAACTGGTAGAGTGAGAGCTTATGGCGAACTGTCATCAGAATTGATTGCCTCAACTTGTGTTCGTCAGGGCTGTCCACTCTCTCCATTCTTGTTTAACTTTATCGTTGACGTGCTTTTAGAGATGACACTTTCCTCATCTAAATTTCAAAGGGTTGAACTCCTACCGGGAGGTTCACTTGTTGACTTAGAATATGCCGATGACATAGTTCTATTTGGTGAAGACGCTGACAAAATGCAGTCTTCTGACCACTCTAAGTAACAACCCAAGCATGTTCGGCATGCGATTCTCCCCCTCGAAATGCAAAATGTTGCTTTAGGATTGGGTTACATCGACACCCGAACTAGTGATAGGGAGTGAAGTAGTTGAGTGTGTCGACCGCTTCACTTATCTTGGAAGTCTCATCAGCCCTTGTGGTGTGGTGTGTGACGAAATCTCAGCACGGATACAGAAGGCTCGACTAGCTTTTGCCAACTTGCGTCATTTATGGCGTAGGCGAGATATCCCTCTATCAACTAAAGGACGTGTTTACTGCGCAGCAGTTCGTCCCGTCCTACTTTATGGCAGTGAAACATGGCCGGTAAGAGTAGAGGATATTCGTAGGTTACTAGTATTCGATCATAGATGTCTTCGAAACATTGCTCGTATATCATGGGACCATCGAGTAAGTAATGTAGTTGTTAGGAAACGGGTACTAGGTAAGGATGGCAAATCAATTGATGAAGTAGTGAAACTTCATCAGTTGAGATGGCTGGGACACGTGTTACGTATGCCCAACGACCGACTGCCTCGACGTGCTATGTTCAGTGGTATAGGAGTAGGTTGGAAGAAAGCTAGAGGCGGCCAAACCAAAACATGGCACAAGTCCATGAAGTCACTGACAAGTGGACTGAGTCATGTTGGTAGGTGTAGACTACCTGGTTGGGGACCACGAGATGATAGCAACCGATGGTTAGAGACCCTGAATGACATGGCTCAAAATCGTTTGCAATGGCGCAGGTGCATCCACTCTTTGTGTTCTCCCAAATTCTAATCTTCTGAATTCTTCATGTCCCTTTTTTCCTCTTTCCAAATTTATTTCACTGGATTATACTCTTCAAATAACATCTCCAAACCCTAATCTTCCCGATTACTGCTTATACTCTTGCTACCTCTACCACTACGGGATTTGAATCGACAACTGCATCTCTGTGTTAAGGTGGTGTGGCAACTCGAATTGATGTACGTTCGTACGAAGTTCTACGTTGTTACTGACTGACTGACTTTTTATTATAAAGCAATAGTAAATAAATAATAGGATGACTGTTAGTAAAAGATTGCCATATGATATCTGAACAGAGAGTAAAATCTCATCTACGTCTAGAGACAATTTGGTGTTGAAATGAGTTATGCATAAACTTAGAGATTATACTAATAAATACCTCACAGCTTTTTAGAAGCTGGTCGGTTCCACAAGGTTTAAAATAAGCTTTAGATAAACGTCCTAACATTACGGATCGCGAGTAATTAGAGATGATGTTAGTCAATTTTATTCCCTTGATATTAGCATACAACAATTCCTGCCACTTTTGCAACATCCCAAACCATGGTGAAAATTTACTAATCTATAGCAACCGATGGAGTAAGTGTTTTCTATATTGTGAGTTAATCACCATTAAATCCCCTTTTCCAATTACTCTTTAAGTAACATAACGAACAGAAAGACGACAAACAAACATGTTCAACAGACCATCATTATAGTAGCTGCTAACAGTAGTAGAACTGTTATTAGTTAAGGCAAACGAAATTTGTCAAAGAATATCTTAATGACTGAAGTTAAATATGACTGGCATGACAACCACATATGTGACACGATAAGCAAAAATTAGGCTTAAGTCAGTAATGAGTGAACAACCACTTGTGATATTCAATTATTAATACGTATATAAGCATGTCATTTCATCACATGAAAAAGCACTAGTCTGGCTAGTGGTCTTATCGTTGATTTATGAGCATTCAAGGGTCTAAGTCAATAATACGGTCTTGTGAGTAGCCATTACTCAACTATATCATATCACTGTGTTTATTTCCCGATTAGCATTCTATTTATTAATATTAACAGTCAAAAATTTCGTTTCATTAGATCATCAAAAACTTCCTCTATAACAGTGACAACGGGAATGGGATATCGGTTTTTAAAATACCAGTTACTACGGATAGGTAGAACTCACTATTAATTCAGTTACTACAGTCGCAGATAGAAATTATTGAAATGCTTTCACGTATTAGTTCTTGATTACCTTCAGTGTTTATCCACAAAGCCACAAACTATGCTTAATCAGTCAGGGTTTTTTAAATTCTCTGATCGTCTAAATCGTGTCTGGTGCAGCTACATTAATCAACAAAGCAAATTAATGGTGAAAATCTAAATATTTACACGACAGAATCAAAAGTCAAAAAGGCATCACACATAAAATTTCCTCTACCTTGACATTGATACACTTAATATGAATTGTGAACAATTTGAAGACAAGAATTGTGTTCATATACAACTACATTCTTGACGTATGATAATTAAACAAAATTAAAGCGTTGAAAATGTCGTTATCATAAAAGTTGAGATAAATTGAAAATAAAAAAGCTAATCCCGGTTGGAATAACTTAAGTTATGCTTGATGTCAACATTATATACCCCTTTTGAGTATACGAGAGACAAATATCTGATATTGTGAGAACTTTATTTCGTCCTGGATATCTACAACCAGGTAAACGGTCTCACTGACCAAGAGAACTTTCTTAAGTCTTTTAAAAATCATTGAATTTTAAAGTCTCATGTTTGCACTGTGAAACGTTGTAGTGTAAATAATTAAGATTTATGAAGAATATACCATCAAATCTAAAATCTACGTAGAAATTCAATTAATCAATTAAACAATACAGTTTTACAAAGAATCAAAAATGAAAACACTTTTCTTACAATTGTCGTGAACTATACAAACTAGTTTACTGCTTTTTGGATTATCTGTAGAACTTTCTGAGCATGAGAAACGGCAGAATCAAACAAAACTTCCCATGAGTTGACTACATCACTTTCATTTGCACTCGTTACAAATAAACTGTCCCAAAGACCCGTTAAAAATGCACTGACCACAGAAAGATCGACGACGGCACCCTGAGAAACAGTTATGTGTACTGGACCAGCATCAGTATCCCAAATATCTAACTCTCGTTTCGTTGGTTGGGCAATAATAGGGACTGTCTTTAACTTTCTATCAGCAACCGGGCGAGGAACGAAGCAGAAAGACAGTGAAACAGGCCATTCATTTTTAGGGATTTTGTCTCATTTCGTGGTCCTGGTTTATATAACTCTAAATAGGATCCCGCAGCTTGTTCATCCGTAACCGCATATAACTTTGTCCACTTTGTTGTACAAAGACTAACAAGTGCAGCGGGGACACAAGCATCTAGTAAGCACCCATCGTCATGAAGGATGAAGACATCGAGCTTCAAAGTGTAGGAAGCTACCGGTGTAAGTGTGTCTGGGTCATTTATTGAGAATATGTTTAGCTGGTTTTCAATAGATGGGAATGCAAAATTATTCAGGAGTCTTTGGATTGTAGAAGACAGCCACTGAGCATACTTAGGTTGTGGAGCATTTAAACGTGAACCTCTATGACAGAGACCAGCAAACTCGACATTGCAGGTTATGTTGCCTGAGTTTCCGCTTTCTGGAATTACCTTGACCTATAATTGTTGAGATCAAAAACCCACAATGTACCTTTACACCTGCAATCACCTGAGTTTTTCCGACTTTGACAAGAGCTGAACCATGACAGGAGGTTAAGACACCAGCAGCGACGTTTATATCAGCAAACTCGAGACAATCCCTGTCTTCTATTCTAATCTTCTGCTCAAATAGTTGTTCAAAAACGGCATATGGTTTTAGAAGGTTAAGATCCCCCATTCCACGATATTCACTTCTGAGTTTACCTGTAACGGTAAGGTACATTTTGAAAGTGACTATACTCTGTTGCGTATCAAAATAATTAAAATGGAACTTAATTGATTACAGAACACATAAAGTTGAGTTTTTATCAGCACTACCATTAAAGCCCTTAAGATCGTACTAGCTAGCACTAGGCTAATATATATTTTTTAAATATATATATATATATATGATGCCCCCTTGTACTAATATTTGTGTTTAAATAAAATCATAATAATAAATAAATAGATTGATAAAATAAAGATATTTTAGATTTAGAAGCTTGGGACCTAGATGAAGTCAAGTAGTGGACTAACCCGTGAAATTGATACATTATTCAGTCTCCAACCACTAGTAACGATAAACACGCCGACTCCAGCAAGGCAGTCCATCCACGTCAACATGGTCTAATCCAATTGTCAATGACTTCATGGACAGATGCATCGTTTTTTTTGGTAGCCTCTAGCTATCTTGCAGACTACTCCCACACTACATATCGCCCGTCGACATGGGTGGTAGGTGGGTATGGGTATCACATGTCCCAACCATCTCAATGGACGAATATTTACCAACTCACCAATTGATTTGGCATCTTTACCCAACACACTCTTCCAAACGAAAGCACTGCTAACAAGGTGATCCCGAATTACACGAGCAGTGCTTTGAAGGCACCTACGACCGCATAAAGGTAACCTGCGAATAACCTGCATACGCAGTGCCCGTGTTTCGCACTCATGAATTAGGACAGTACAAACTACTGCACATTCAACTCGCCCTTTGGTTGGCAGGAAGATATCTAACCCCCGCCACAAGTAACCTTATAACTGTTTACACTTGTCGAGGAACATAAGTCGCCCAACAGCATTCTCCACCCAACTCTGTCTTGAGCAATTATTTCCAAGTGGTTCCAGTTGCTATTCATTCTTTTGTTGTCTGCTTCCGGTTTTCAGTGCAGTGCCTTTTTTGGTCTTTTGATTTTCCTTTTCCCTTCAGGATCCCAAACTAACGCTTGCCTCGTGATGCAGTTTGATAATTTCCTCAATAAATATCCTGTCCACATCCAGCGTCTTTCCGTAATTCCATCAGATGGAATTTGGTGTTTATCGTGTTGTGCTAATGAGGTGTGGCAACTTGGACCAATGAGTATATATGCCTGATCTTACTTTGCAGCTGACTGAGCTGGAAGCTGGTTTGCTCTCTTCCACAGTAGGTTGGACAGGTGGTCACTAGAAGTAAATCCTAATAAGAGTATGGTGATGCAATTAAATAACTATGATGAATCCTATCACTGTACAATATGTGGATTCGTGCTACCCAAAGTAAACTATAAAGATTTAGGAGTCATATTAAGCAGTGGTCTTAAAACCACTAGTCACTGTAAGGCTGCTGCTGCTGCAAAAGGCTATAGGGTATTATGGTCTATTCGTAGGTCTTTTCAGTATTTAAATGACGAAGTGTTTAAATTATTATACCCGATTTACGTGCGACCACATTTAAGATATGGGATTCGAGCAGCAAGTCCTTGTTTCAAGTATGAAGCAGCGATGCTGGAAAGAGTCCAACGACTAGGTACTAAGATGGTACAAGGTCTATCTGACTTATCTTGTGAAGACAGACTGGGACACCTTAACTTATTTCCGTTATTTTACCGTAGAATACGAGGTGATCTAATATCGGCTTATCGTATACTGAACGATGACTTTGGTATTAACATGTCTTATCTTTTTCTTCCGTCTAGGACTGATCATTTGAGAGGACATTCGAAGAAAGTTCAAAAAACCGAGACTAAATCGTTTACGTCTGGAGTTTCGTTTCTCGCACCGAGTAGTAAATTACTAGAATTTTCTACGGGAACACGTAATATCAGCACCTTCTGTTGACATATTCAAAACGAGATTGGACCTCCACGGTATTACAAACTGCAACGATTAATTTAGGTCGATAGACCTGTCCATATCACTGAAGAGAGAAAGTTTGGTCAACGAACACTGAGTATCTTGCATAGAGAATTGCTTATGAATACATGTACGCTTTTGCTGATGGATGTAGTAGTTCTCCAATTCTCAGCTCCGTACAGTAGAACTGTATTGACGTTAGTAATGAAGATTCTGACTGATGTATTTGGACGGCTGTTTTTGAGTTTTATATGCTCTTCAAATGTAGGAATTTTACCCCTTGTTTTTCTCAATTCTTCAAGTGTGACAGAATCAGTGTTCCCCGTGTTTTGTTTCAGGATCTTGCCTTTTCCCTGTTTTGAGCCCTAATGCTACAGACAGGTGTTTTTGCTACAATGACTGTCATCACCTGTATTTGTTGGTGTACGGGGATAGAAAAGCTATAGCTGATGACCTATATGTCATCTGCATAGTCCAAGTCGCCTAGTTGCATGCACTTTTTCCTCTAAACTCGTCCAAGTCTGGTTGCTTGTGTAATAGAAACTTATTTCATCTTGAAATAACTAACTCTTTTGAAAGGTATATTTTTAATTATTCGTAATATTTACAAGTACTTACAGTCACGACATCGGGAAGCGCGCAATCTGGAACCTTTAGATTAGCCTAGTAAAACTGCACCAAAACGTTTTGATTGAAATCAAGTATCCAGTTAGTCGATCACTGCTTTGCAGAAGTAGTGGAATGTTTATACCTTTAGGTTCTATTTCTTCGTATTTTGAATTCATTCTTGTCGTACAATGTATCATTCGCAATTATGGTGACGTATATTCAATGATTTTTGTAAAGACAAAATAAAACCCGTATTTTCTCTCTAGTTTGTCACACTTTATATGTAACCACATTTTTATTCAATATCTGTTGTTTTTCCGTATTACTTGTTGATAACGATGATAACTGTTTCGATAAACAATATACGATTTTACTACCGCATGGTTTGAAAATAAAAACCGCTATCTACACCGTCTGTTCTTCTGCTTTATTGACCACGGTTTTTGATTGAAGACCATAATGGTGTTATAACATCCCTTTAGCCCTTCCGACACCACGTTGGAATTCTGGCACGGATTATTATATTATAATACTATTGGACGCAATCTTCTTCAATACGCCGTTGGTGCAATTACTTGCAGAGGAATCTTCGTTAATCGAGTGAACTTATTTGTGGTTGTTATTCTCGCGAGGCAGCTTTCAAGTAACATTCAATTCATAATAATTGTTATTTGTTTGTTTAGTATACCCTTTGTCTTTCTAACTATATTTGTTACCTTGGTTTTATTAACAGACAGACACTTATGGTTTTTATTATTAATTTACTGGGTATATTATTATCAAACTAGTGTATCGACATACCGTTTATAAGCTCCTTTTGTTGGGAATCACCACAAATCTGGTGAGCCCGTAAATTTTTTTTGGAACTAGTTTTGAGTTCACTCACATACGTTACGGTGTTACTTTCCTCTTGGTAGTAATTATTTTTTTTGTATATTTGTAATGTACACTTCCGAAACCGAAGGCACGAGCCAGGATAGCATTTCAACAGAGCTCCACGCTCTAAACTTGATAAATGTGTGTAACGACCGAACAGCCAATATTCGGTTGGAACAACGGACTGACGAACCCAAAATTTATTCGATTAGACCAGACCAAGTTCCTCTGTATAGCTCACAACGCGTCTTTGAGATACTCGTATTATATTATATCAAAACACAAACTCTGTGCCCAATATAAACGGTTCTAATTCAGAAAACAGAACAAATTACATCAAAAATACAGAATACCTCAAACGGTACAGCCCGTGCTATACAGTCGGAAGTTTCTCTAACGCAAAGTAGCGCGCTAAACAATGAGACAGTTACTACTAAAGGGTTTGATACCTGAGAATCAATACAAATATTCCCAATCAGATGGGATCAAATATCTATCTGCAGGGATTGCAGTAATCCTCCCAAGCAGACAGTCAGAAGGTTAACAGTCACAAACTGAACCACGCCGTGACCTTGAGCTTAGTCAAACACAACCATACTGTCAATGGTCCGGCAACATGCAATAGAAAATTAGGTAACCAAAAATAAGTCTTTAATCAAAATCACATAATAAAGGCTCAAACGAGGAAGACTGAAGAACAAAAGACATGGTTAAACGAGATCGAAACAAAGGTTGGAATACACAAAAAAGAGAAGGAACAAATAAATGAAAATACTGTTCAACAAAGAAGCTGCAGAGGGATTTTCACTGTTCTCTTTCCGTTACAATGTGCCTCCATTCAGTCGATTAAACCCTCGCATTTGGTTTGCACAAGTGGAAGTACAGTTTCAACGTCGTAACATACGCTCACAGACATCAAAATACTCTTTCGTGCTTGGACTACTGCCTACTGAAGTAGCATCTGAGGTACCGGATTTGATAGATAACATTCCTGTATCTAATCCATATGATCAATTGAAGCATGCAATTATCCAACGTACCTCATTATCAGATGAAAAGAGATTACAACAATTACTGCACGAATGTGAGCTAGGCGACAAGTCACCGTCTCAATTATTACGCCACATGAGACAATTGGCTTGCCCTTATAAATTTGATGATGCTTTCCTGAAGGAGATTTGGCTACACGTTTGCCAACAGTAGTTAGGCAAATTCTTTGTGATTATTATTATTATTATTAATGGCTTTATTCAATATTATCTTTTTGGTACAATATAGAATTCTCAGCACAGGGTATTTCAACAAGTTACTTACTGAACAACGAACAAAAAGGCAGTAGCAAATACAAAGAGAAATAAAAAAAGGTTTTAAAAATATATATATATAAAAATTAAAAAAAAAGAACCAAGAAATAACTGCACAAAATTTTTTAAAATAAAGACATGTTAAGAATGCAAGTTATTGACTAGGTTGACTCTAACAACCTGTTCGTCACAGAGTATATTTGCTAGGTAAGGTATTATAGAACTTTTATACTTTTCCTTGCGTGTATGGATTTTAATGTAATTACGTCTCGTTCTACCAGAAAATATACAAGGAGAAAGATAAGAGTGAAGGAAATGGCTAGTATCTGAAAGAGCAACTAGTTTTTTGAAAAAGTAAAGACATCACGTCACTCACCAATAATATGACGGTAGGGTAACGCTTCAGTTTTGAGATTAAATTGTATAACGTGACCAATTATAGTAAACCCAGTAATAGGCAAGATGAAATCAGGCAACAATTCCTTGATAACTTGTTCGAATGTGAAATTTTCATAACCGATCGACATATTCACGAGACATGGTGAGGTGACAATATTTTCCAACATATTTATCTCTTCTTCTACAACACTAACTTTTTTAAATGCTTCATCGTTCAATGAATTTTCAGCTTTCAAATCGTTTAGACATTCGGGCAATTTAGCTACAGATAAATCGACTGGTTGAAGATTTGCGTAATCTTTAGGTAAATCAACGTTCCACTGATTTAAATCAGTTATAAACTGTAAGATTTTATCAGGTTCAGGCATTTGAACCAGCATCAATTTACGCAACGATCCATTTGAATCTCGGCTGAAAGTGATTTTTTGTAAAGATAGAAAATGAACTATTAAGAATGAATAAACTATTTCAGGAGAAATAAATTATGATAACATAACACTTAATGAGTAGGAGGCTTTATGTGGTGCCCAAAAACACTTATCACAAAGATTGAAAAACTTTAAAGAGTATATAGAGCGTAGTCAGAATATCTTCTTAGAAGTAATTATTCTAAGTTGATATTTTCCTTAGCAAAACACTAAGGGAAATCGAGAGATCCCGAAGAAGCGGAATCTGGGCGGGATATATTAGATTAGAACAGAAAATTTATCAAATTGTAGTAATATATAACCATGAAATCAACATATGTTACGGAAACCTGTTTTAAGTTACTGAATGTCTCTGACCATTTATATTTCTCAGTCGATACCAAATCGCATACCATCAGATTAGTAGACATTTTTTAGGATGATACTACTTGATAGAATAGTCTACCTAAAGCTAAATGTAACAGCTACAAACTCACCGCGAAACTGATAGTAAATTGAAATATTTTTGGTAACATGGGTTTAACCCGTTTTTACCAATATTTCACCTAGATTTAAAACAATACATTTAATCTGGAAATCGGTAATCTGATGACTGTTTCACTGGCGAGGCGACGTGTATGGATACTTTACTGTTAACAGGTATCGTTACCAAGGTTTGACTTGATAATTTCGAATAAATTGAGAATTGTGTAGATTGGTACAAATACATTACTTACTGTTAACAGTTGCACAACTGAAAGAAAAGCACTTTTAAGCTGAATTTGAAGGTCGGTGCTCTACAAAAATAGAATGAATCTGTACGTTCAGAGCAAATAGACGAAGTAAAACTTAGATGTAAACAGGATTGATATAATTCTCTAAAAAATCTAACTGAAAATATTTAACATTTTCTGTATAAAATAATTATTTACTACACTTACAGATAAGTTATGCCAATTTAAATAAAAATAGTTACATCTATTAAAGTAACTCAAAACCGCTTTATCCTCTAATCTGACCAAGTAGACTCTGTAAAATGTTGAGTTGAATAAACTCTACACCTATCATCGTGTATTGAAGAAACAGTTTAGAATTCACTTTTAAGGTGTAAACACCAGTTAATTAATTACTGACTAGAACTGATTTATCAGAGGTATGGCTGCCGTCGTTTCTGGTAGCAGAAGAAAATTTTAATCCAAAACATGTTCTAGATGTAAACGAATTATGTGTTAACCAACACACTTGTATCAGTGCAGATGAGTGAACGAAAATTCGACAGGCAGAGCAATAAGTTACAAAAAGGTCAACGAGGTTTTGAAGGAACTTAGCTTCTAATTTGTCTCAACCGCAGTCAGTAGAAATGTGCATACAAATTACGACACTTCTGAGTTGTCATAATACTGTAGTGAACGAGAACACAAGTGGGACAATCGAATGCATTTGAATACAAAATTACAGAACATCTTAGTAAAATCGGAGAATCATACAACAAATACTTCAGACAATCGTCTCAGACTTGATTGTTCTTTCGTCTCCACACCAACCATTCTTTGTCCCCGTTCTCTTTTCTTTGATCTTCTTAACCTTCTGCATCCAGGCATTTCACTTTCGATTGATGATACGTACTACTTATATCTGTCGACATCAGTAGCACACACCACAATACTATTCAGCCGAATAGTGTTGGGAACTATCGACAAAGGTTCAGTACAGAAGTCACTTATCTGCCCTTAGACTCAACTACACCCGACCGTTGTTGCTACCTCGACGTGGTGGTCGGGTTTGCCTATCGTGATGAAGCAACCGAAGGCGAAGTCGTACTGCTGACTGTACAGAGGTGTGACAGCAGTAAGGTGTTTCCTTCAGACAACCAGCATGACAGCGATGCTGTCTTCCCACAAGGAGGGGTGGGGTTAGAAAAGGTCGACCCTAAAGATGCACACCTCACCTTACCTCACGGATTTCCGTCTCCGGCGGTAAGGCTCTTTGAAGAACGGAGCTAACACGTCAAAAACCTCCCACGAAAAGGCCGTGCACGACCGACCTCAAGCAGTTGTCCCTTGGGCACTGCGGTCACGCTCTCAAATCACTGAGACCACCTCTAATCCAATTTCCTTTTCAGGTACCTCCAGAAGAACCCTTCCTCGGTGTGGGCAACCGGGAAGCGATAACCGCCCTCATACCTCTAACAGCACTCGAGACTCAACGACATATCAAATGTTGGATCGCTTAAATTCATCAAACTAACAAGACAATTTTATATGAATAAACTCACAGGTTTTGTACGACTGCTTTCAGTCGTACAGCATGTGTTTAGTGCACATTCTGGCTGACGAGATCTGTTATTCTGTTCGAGATAGAGTGAGGATATATATAACTTTGATGTATGGGATGTAATGTCGTTTCGTGAGAAAAATTGAAAAGGATTTCAAAATACCTCAGAAATATATTACTTTCACGCCACTAAATGATTGGAGTCAGGTTTTTCCTATTACTATAGGTAGAACTACACTAGCTATAATCTTTGACATTCATATAATTCAAAATATAGAACTACCATACGCCGCTACAATTGTAACTAACCATTAAAAACATTGCATTGGTTAATGTCAAAATCCACATATACGCCTGAGGAGTTTGGTAATAAACAACCAAAGAGAGATGAATTTCTAATCAAGCAGATACTTTCTAAGAATTAAACAATTCAGTATAAATATGAAATGAGTTGTGTTGACGATAACAATCTAAACATTATACTAGGAAACTTACTAAGTTTTAGATATTTTAGGTAGTCGGATAAAAGGACAGAAAAATGGTTTCAACTTCTCTAAAGACGTCTTGACATGTTTATCACATTGAATACCGACGAATATCATTGGGACTTTACGTTTGAAGTAAGATCGATCCAATTTTATGTCGTTTGTCGGCGGAAGTTTACCGCACGGTTTCAAAACTTCTTTCAACTCCGAGTGATTTTCTGTACAAGGAAGTTGTTCATTCGTATGATTTATGTTGGAGGTCATCAGTGATTTCGACAAATACTTAACTGAATACACAGGAAAAAATATGGAAGTGGGTCTGAGGTAAGCAACAAAAGAGATTCTCGTTGCCTTGAAAGTTAAGAAAAAGGTACAGTTAGTACATAGTATTCATAATCTGAAAGGGTTTCAGGTAATATCTACTACAAAAGTCTGTTGTTGACCACAGTTAATGTTTATGAAATTTACAACACCCAGTTATTACACACAAACCGTTGTCACAACTAGATGACACTCAACTGACAGAAACCATATTACAATCTAATGTCAAGATAAGTCAGTGAGAATCTAAAATACTGATTTAGACACTTTTAATTAGTAATTTACCCATGACAGTCTAGTTTTATCGACAGTTTAAACGCTCAGTAATATTAATTGCCAGACATGGAGTATTTAGTGTCTAGAACACTCATAACCGTTGAGTTACAAAATAATGAAAGTGGTAGACAGTAAACACACTAACACAACCATGAGTCTCATAGTTCAGGAGGCATTTAATGCCATAAACTAACACCTGAAACACCAACATCTAAAAACTCTATACCTACAGAATTCTCATAACGTGAATGTGCAATTATCCTGGAGAGACTAAAAGACATCACTGCATTTTAATTACATTTTTGTGACAGATAACATAATAGAAAAGGACCATATAGTTTACGATGTTACAGCTTATGAAATGGTGCAGGGATATGAAAGAAATCCGTATATAACTGGCATCGATCAGTCAATAACAACTTACTGGTTGTGGTCCGACAGATGGTGCAACTCATTAGCTTGAAACGGTATTAGATGTGATTGAGAACAGAAGCCAATGGCTGTAATCATCATTCACATTCGTCTTATAATCCAGAACTCCTTTAACTGGGAGGATCCCAGTTCTGACATTCATATTAGTTGAAAGTTCTTTTGAGTCCCATATGTTCAATTCTTGCCTTTATGTCTGCACCAGGTCCCTCTTGTTAATCGATGATGATGCCCAGATAAGTGAACTTTTCCACATCTTCCAGAGTCTCTCCATCAAGTGTGACTGAACCAGTGTTCCCTGTGTTTTGTTTCAGGATCTTGCTTTTTCCCTAGTGTGTTTTGAGCCCTAATGCTACAGACAGGTGTTGTTGTTACACTGACTGTCCTCACCTGCATTTGTCGGTGTATACGGGATAGAGGAGCTCGGTTATCTGCGAAGTCCCAATCGTCCAGTTGCATTCAACCTGTCCATCGTATTTCGTGCTTCCCCTCAGACGCAGGTTTTCATAATACACTCAACTGTCGGAGGAAAGAGGAAGGGGAATGTAAGCAGCCTTGTATGACTCCGGTCATCACTTGGAACGCATCTGCCAGCATTCCTTCATCCACGACTTTGAAGAGTAATCCCTCCTATGAATTCCGGATGATGTTGACAATCTTCGCAGGTACACCACAGTGTCTAAAGAGGTTCCATAAAGTTCTTCGATCTACGTTGTCAATCGCCTTCTCATAGTCAATGAAGTTGATGGGTAGTGATGAGTTCCATTCAATTGATCGTTCAACGATGATCCGTAGTGTCGCAATTTGATCTGTGCACGACCGATGCTTACGCAATCCGGTGTATCGATCCAAAAGTTGGGTGCCCACTAAATCTTTCATTCGGTTGGACAACACTCTGTTGAAAACCTCTCGTGGTACCGATTGTAGTGTGATCCCTCTGTAGTTCTCACATTTGCTCAGATCTACATTCTTTGATATCTTCATTTCTGTCTGTTGGAACTTGTTCCTCTGCAGTGTCGGTTGCTATTTCAAGCCCATATAGCTTATTCTAGCTTCCGGACAGGCCAATTTATTCATTCTTCTGGAGTCACATTTTGACCTTGTTAGTTATTCGCTTATCAACCTTGACTATTTTTATGTAAGCGTATGCGTTTCTCATCTTACTCATCGCATGACTGTAACATATTTTTGTTCAACTATAAATATCGATTCACGCTTAACTAAATTGAGTTGATTCACTCGCCTTCTCCATTGTGTGCCGTCCCGTTTTGCTTCGCTTTCCGATCAACGATTGTATGAAATATACGCACTGAAACTTAATTCTCATATATGACTCACTTAATTCCGTTAATCACTGACGCGATTTAAGTCGCTGATACTACACGAGGATTAACGTTACGTTTATTTCAATAGTAATCACTCATACGATTCAAATAAAGTCAGATATCGGGCCACTAAACCTCCCCCCAAATATTCCTGAACAGAACGTGGAGCATGTTCGCAGTTGCCCCTATGTTTGACTTTAGTGCTTCAGCTGTTATGTTTTCTCTTCCTGCTGCTTTGCCGCTCTCGATTTGTCTTATGGCCATCCTGATTTCTTTGGTCGTTGATGCAGTGACATTAATAGGAAGGACTGTATGTGCTGCTTCGATATCCGGTGGATCTGGCCCATTCAAGAGTTCCCTAAAGTGTCCCCCCATGTGTTCTTGGATTTCAGTGATTAGCCTGCCTTTTCCGTCTTTGATTGGTCTCGACGGTTCACTACATTTCCCTCCCACATTCTTTGTTACGTCATATAGTTTTTATATCCTCTGTTCCTGCTAGGTCTTCCAAGTACTTCTGATTGTCGGTTTTAATGCTCCTCTTCACTTGCTTGTTTGTTTCAGTGTATTCAGCTTGTGACTTGGCCTTCTCTGCTCTTGTTCAACTGTTGTTAGTTGCTGTCTCCTTGTTCTTCCTTTATTGAATACTGTCTAACGTTTCGATAGATGTCCAATCCTTATGATGATGGTTCTTGCGGCTCAGAACATCCTGACATGTTGAAGTTAGTGCTTGTTTGATCCCTTTCCAGTTATCCTTCATAGTAGTCTCATCTTCGTTGGATAGCTATTGCAAGGCTTGGAACACACTGTTGAGAGCTATCTTGAATTCATCCAGTTTGACTGTATTTCAAAAGAAGTTTGTATTGAACCTTTGAACTACTGTTTCTCCAGTTGTCCAGTGTTTCTTTAGCTTCAGTTTGATTTTGGCCACAACCAGTTGGTGGTGATCTGGAGTTATGTCAGGCTCTCTCCTGCTTCACACGTTTTCCATTGAATTTCTGAATCTCTTAGGGATGCTTTGATGATCCTGGATCCGTGAGATTCACATTCCATAAGTGCACTTTGTGCTCCTACGGACAGCATCACAGCAAATCCCTGAGTATGTGGGTCATCTTCCTCTTCGTGACCAGAGTACAGCAGCATCTCTCCTGAATTCAAACTTTTCTGTTCAGCTTGGGTCCAATGGGTTTCACTGATTCCGAGCACTGTCAAGTTGTATCTCCTCATTTCTGTAGGTATCTGATTGGTCCTCCCGGTCTCTCACATTGTCTGGACATCCATCCCATGTACCTATACTAGTTGCTGCTCTGGTTGTTAGGAGGGGAGATCGGTCTCATAACTTTCGGAGAATCTTGGCTTTCACCATGTGGCACCACAATTCCTCCGAATGAAGATCGTCCAACTCTCAGGGCAGAGTTTAAATGGTCCAATTTATTTATTCTGGTTAGGGCTTTTTGACAAACCCGTTTCCTACGAGGCGGGGTTGCTGACGCCGTGTCCAACCGTCTTCCTTTACCCGGGCTTGATACCGGCAGTAAACCTAGAAGAGCTACAGGTGGAGTTACATAGTTTTCACATTTACTTCAAAGAATTGTGGATATTATGGAAATTTTCGATAGGCGACGTACGACATTAGTTTACGGACTCAAAATGAAACCTTAAGCTGAAAGCCATAAATGACTGCATATTTATTCACTACAGTATAATAAACCAATGAGACCTTTTAATAGTCTGTATCGTTTTATACTCTACTGGACGTCCCGTCGGGTATATAATTTAGTTCAGCCCTCTCACAATCTATGAAGGGAGTACCACAAATTGTAGGTACGACCGGGTGTGTTGGAATGTAGCACATCCAGTTAATACGAGTAGTCAAGTTCCGGGATTTCATACTGACGGAGATGGTCTTAGTAACTTCTCAGGAGTCTTTTGGTGGGAAATCTGACATACCCTGAAAGACTCTAGTCAATATCCAATCCTGATTGAATAATATTTTTATTATCTTGTTTAATGTACATGGGCGTCGATGAATTACTGCAACGTGACGCGGAACCCCGTCAAGCGAAAGCTCCATTCCGAACCAACCAAGTGAACAGTTTGAACAGGACTCCTGCATTGTGTAGATATGCAATACTTCCAGGTCTCGAGCGAAATTCCAGACCCACGTACTAACTTCCAGGCGTAACTACAAGAGAATAAACTGTTTTATCTTAGTTTTATACTTGTAAAGTAGTCCGTTTGAGACATGTTGCAGACTACAGGTAAACCTTAAGAAACTCCTCTCTCGAAGTATCTCAAGTTGAAAAAGATTTAGAAGTGCTGGTAACCTACGGTCTGAAGTATTACGCTAACTGTGACAAAAATGCCTTTCGAACAAACCTTACACTGGTGACATTAAAGTGCATTTTTGGCCAGTTTGACGGAAAAACTTTCAACATAATCTTCAACAGTTTTATTCGTCCCTATTTGGAGTATAGAAAGATAGTATTAACCTCCTTAATCCAGTAGGATAAAGACACTCTAGAACGTATTCAACAGCCAGCCACGAAATCATCTCGGGAGCTCAAATTCAAGCCTTATGGACATAGCCTCCAATCAATTAACCTTTACCCATTAGAGTATAGGCGTCTTAGAGGTGACCTTTTAATGGCTTACGCTATCCTTAACACTCCTGGACATCTCCTTAAACACCTACTTAAGCTTAGTCTCAATACAAACCTACGGGTAACACCCAGAAATTGGAGACAACATAGCAGAACGGACTGCAGACACAACTTCTACTCCTTAAGAGTTGTCAAATGCTAGAATTCGCCGCTGGATAAGCTAGTTCAAGCGACTTCCCAGGAGTCCTTTAAGAGGAAACTTGATCTATTCTTAAGGACTAAGGATAGTATCACACTACGATTTACTAATTTC